AAAAAAAAAAAAAAAGGCAGAAACTTAATCTAAATTCTTTCGCCTCCCTTACTCCATCCTCCTTCTTCCAGGCGGCTGGCGCTGAGGCCAGCAATCTCGCCCCCTCTGGCCCTCCCCTTTCAAGCTTTTTCGTCTCTAGACCTGACCGGTACATTGTCGGGTAGAGCAGGGCGGATCCATAATTTTTTTCCTTTTAGGAGACTAGACTTTTGGTACCTTGGTTTACATACTTTTCGATTTTGATACCCATAGTTTGAACTTAATCACTTGCAGTCACTCAAGTATTCAAAATCCATCACTTTTCCCCAAATCGTCAGTTGACCGTGAGTCAACTGACGGTCACCTTCTCTAGCAGGACGTCTCCTTCTGTAAGTGATACAAAATGGTATGGCGGGCATCTTCATCACTGCAGCACAAAGCCGACCGACAGTGAGGGAGAAAAAAAAAGAATTTGAAGTATTTGCACCATGAGCAGAAGGAAGCTGAATTCCACTTCCAAGGGCATTAGTGCAAATCTGCATGGGTTATTAAAGATGAAAATGATATAGATATCTATTGAATTGAAGTAATTAATATTCTTCATTGTCCCTTAGTTTACAAAAGAATATCTATTAGTAATCCCAATTTAGAATACACTTTAAGGTGAAATGGATGGTTCTTGATAGTGATCCATTTGTCGAATAGATGAAGCATGAGATGACTTTAATTTATCAATTATCGAGGTGTTAATTGTATCACTTGCAGTTTTGTCTTCATGATGTGTTTCTAATTATGCATTCTCTGATATTTTCAGGAAGAAATGGTGAACCTCATGCTAACGTGGACTGGGAAAGCAGGCTAAAAATCGCGATTGATGCAGCCCGAGGTATTGTTGAAATACGTAAGCATAATGATGGGAAACTTGTCCATGGAAACATAAAATCGCCAAATTTTTTTTCGCAATCATGACCAGTATGGCTGCTTATCAGATCTCGGTCCGACTAGTTTGATACAAACAGCATTCGAGCCAACTACATATTACTATGCTCCTGAAGTTAAGAGTTCCCAGAATGTGTCCCAAGCACTAGATGTATAAAGCTTCGGGATTATGTTACTTGAACTTCTTTATTAGGTCTGTTTGATGGTAGAAATTAGGGGTAACCGATTAATTAGGTTTCTTTGGAGAAAGCAACCGGCTAGAGAAGGTGACCATCAGTTGACTCACAGTCAACTGACGATTTGGGGAAAAGTGATGGATTTTGAATACTTGAGTGACTACAAGTGATTAAGTTCAAACCATGGGTATCAAAATTGAAAAGTATGTAAACCTGGGGTACCAAAAGTGAAATTTTCCCTTAAATAAATCAAGCTCTCAGATTTTTTTTTTTTTTTTTT